GAGGAGGAGTCAGGAGTGATGGGGTGAAGGTGGGACTGGGAAAAGGGGAGGGGGAGAGTGTTTTTTACTGTTTGCCTTTGTTTCTCACTACCTGAATCTATTTCAATTGGCAACAAACTAACTTAATTTTCCTGATTTTGAGTCTGTTTTGCCTGTGACCATACTTGGTAAGCAATCTGTCTTTATTCTTGATGCACAAGTTTTCTTATCCTATTTTTTCCCTCTTTCTTGTTGAGGAGAGGGAGTGAGAGAGGGGCTGGGTGGGGGTCTGGTAGCCAGCCAAGGTCAACCCACCACAGAGTTATCAAGTGCTGACCAAGGGGACCTTCTAAATCCTGGAAGGGAAGTCTTATGATTCAAAGCATGTGTTTCAGATATCTTATTTAATAATAGATACTGAAGATGGGGTTGGATTTTCACACTATATAAATTATTTGGTCTCCCAATGTACTAAACAAATATTGTCTAAAGAGTGGTAGCCACTCCACACCACCTATTTTCCTATTTTGCAGTCATCCTACAAGCCAAAAATTAGAGATCATTCAGGCCTGACAAAATGCATGTGGAACTGATCTCAGACCTTCAGCAGCATACATACGGTCTCAGTCACTCTGATCTAGACCAGGATACTCGAATACTGGGTGCCGTTTTGGGCCCCTCACTACAAGAAAGACATTGAGGGGCTGGAGCGTGTCCAGAGGAGAGCAACAAAGCTGGTGAAGGGCCTGGAGAAAAAGTCTTATGAGGAGCAGCTGAGGGAGCTGGGGTTGCTTAGTCTGGAGAAGAGGAGGCTGAGGGGAGACCTGATTGCCCGTTACGGCTACCTGAAAGGAGGTTGTAGCGAGGTGGGGGTTAGTCTCTTCTCCCCGGTAACTAGTGATAGGACAAGAGGAAACGGTCTCAAGTTGTGCCAGAGAAGGTTCAGGCTGGATATTAGGAAGAACTTCTTCACTGTAAGAGTCATTAGGCATTGGAATGGGCTCCCCAGGGAGGTGGTGGACTCACCATCCCTGGAGGTGTTCAAAAAACATTTAGATGTGGCGCTTCACGACATGGTTTAGTGGGTTTAGCAGGCATGGTGGCATCGGGTATACGGTGATTTGATGATCTTTGAGGTCTCTTCCAACCATAATGATTCTATGAAAGAAATAATCTCACCAGTCCCAACCACGTAGGTTGCTTCCAGTAGGTTCTGATTCAGTTCACATCAGCATAGAAGTAACCGGAAAAGAGAAGATGGGAACAAAAAGGGCAGACAAGGGAGGAGCGTTGTGTGAGTTTAATGAACTGAAGCTCTCTGAAGGATTAGGTAAGCATTAAGGCTCATAGAAGAAAAGGAAAAGGACTGGGTAACTGAAAGGAAGAGAAAGGAGAAGACAGACTGTGAAGAGGAACGGTGCAGAGCTGTTAGATCAACTTAGTCAACTCATTAGATCATTCTGCAGGTGGTCTGGCCTTTCTGTCAGTGCCAAGGCACTTGTACTGCAGCTATCAAAACTTATAGTACAGGACTGCTAAGCACTGGGGCTTCTGTTGGGGCATCTTCTACCTGTTAGAGCCAAAGCATGAACATCGCCTGATTACAAGGACCTGCCTTACCTACAAACGTTAACTACTGAACCAGAAGGTGTCTACCCTGTGGGGAACACAGTGTGTTCCAAGACATACAATTTTTTACATGAACCTCTTGATATTTCCTTTGTGAGACAAAAAAGACCAGCAAATGGAACAGCGTTTTGGCACATACCATTCTTAGAGACAGAAAGGATAGCTGCTGTGACTGCTGTTTAAGGCACAGTATTATAAAAAATGATGAGGGTTGATGCTATCTGTGATTTAAGAGTCCCACATCCTGCTAACCCTAGTTCACCTAGCTGTATAGAGGTAAAGATAAAAGTTAAGGGAGGAAAGCTCTTTCACCCTTCTCCCCCATGCCCTTGGAAACATCCAATCATTAAAACAATAACTAAAATTGACGATGAATTTCTTCATTAAAAAGTGAGTTTAACACATGCCTTGCTAGCATAAACACTCCAGTCGTTATTGACTTCCCATTAAAAAGCCCTGGGATTTTGTTTGTATTTCTCTTGTCATCTCGGATCATCTTGCATGCACAGTTATACAGGCCTTCATACAAGCAAATGCTTAATTTATGCTACTGCAAGATAAACCTAACAGCAGTGGTGTTACTGGAATTCCATAATGAATAAAACTCTCAGAGTGCATTCGGAAGACCACAGTTATTCTAAAGCAACTGCATGGAATTACACTCAAATTATAGAATGCTTCTGTAGTGCTAAATCTTGTGTAACTCAAAGAAACAAAACAGTATTACCCAACGTGATATGAAACACAGCAGACTCCAAATACTTATTTCCTGAACAAACTTCTACAAACAAATAAGCAAGTAGTTCCAATAATTATAACTCTGATCATTTTTGGCACCATGATTTAGACGCATTCAGAATCTTCTGATGCTGGACAGAATTATCTTTACTGCTAGAGAACAAAATAAAATGGAAAAAGCGTATTTGGTTTGATACAGTTAACTAGCACAAACACTCTTAAAGTAAACGTACAGTGAAGATGCAGGCACAGTCAATAAAAGGCTTCTATCTGACCTTTAGTGCCAATCTTTCTTCTTTGTAGGAAAAAATTATTAGGTCTTTACCAATTTTTATTTCAAATAAACAAACAAAAAAACCCACCACAGGATAGTTCAAACCTTTGCTATCTTGTGTAAAATACAAACCTCTTTATAGCAAGAAGAAGGTCAGAGTACTATATAAAAGCAAACGTGAGGATGGGAAAAAAAGACTTCCAGTAAGCAACGATTTCCTGTTCGTCTTTTGTGACATAATTGAGGTTATCTACTGGCAGTTTGGCAAAGCTAAATTGTGTGTGCTCCTGCAACTGAACTGTTTGCCATAGGAAGAGGGAAGAAAATCTGAAGTGACAGAATTTTGGGTGACCTTGCCCTAAAGTCCACCAGAGTCATATCCCTATTTCTTCCCTTCATTAACTGATCCTCTGCAGGATTATAAAGAGGATAGCATCAAACAAAAGCTGGGTATATGGGAGACAGACTTTATTCTGGTAACTTTTGTGCACAATCTCCTGACAACCAGTGTAACTTCTAGTATCTGGATTAGTCCAGGAGAACGTCCGAGATCTAATTTCTGAACACTGTGAATATACAGCCCTTTTAATGTAGATGATTTAAAAAAAAAAAAAAATCACAAAAGAGGCAGTTACTGGTTTATTAACCCTATAGGAAGCTTTTAATTTAAGAACCATTGCAAGACTCCTCTCCCTTTACTAATCGAAATATTTTTACAAGCACTGTCATATGATCTTAAACACTCTGTGTTATGGTATTACAAATATGACAGCAGCATTTTGATTATACATAGTAAATCTCCATGGGTTTAAAAGGTATGTCAGGCTGCATGTATTCGATAAAACATTAAATGTGACTCTGGATAGGTATTGAATAATTTACATCTTGCCATAGCTCTTCCATGAGTATTTTATACAATTCCTTTCCACAAACTTCAAAACAATCATATAATTTTGCTTTTCAAACTGATTAACTTTGTTCTGCAATGTGTACAATGCAAGTTGCACTGTCTAATAAAATTGGAACCGACACTTGTACACTATGTAACAAACTTCGATAGCATAAATTATTCACATCTTATACACAACACTACAATCATGAAAAGGATTTAGGAATCTCTACTTCCTTAAGCTGCGATTTCACAGTATTATCAATGAAAAATTTCTTTTAAGGTATGGAAGGAAAAAAATACCGATGCACATCCCAGAAATAATAAAATGTAACATGCACAGAAGAGAACATGCAATATTTCTGAAATCTAAGTTTTAAACATTCCCAATTGGTTTGAATTTGCTGCATTTGTTAAAATCAGGCTCCTAAAGAGAATTTATAAACTGAAGATTGCCAACTGTGACATCTGCTAGTATGTAACAACTCAATTTGCACAAAATTGAGTATAGACTATTTACAATAATTCTGTACAAGGTAAGAGTAAGTCTTTAAAATAACTAGCAACTTTTGCACAAATTGTGGTTATGAACATAAATCACAGAAAAACATGCACAAAACTCCTGCAAAGAACTAGTAACTACAGGAATCTACTTTTTGGTGTTCCCACATGAGTTTAGTGCCACACTTCGTTTAATGGTATTTTAACACTCTGAGCTCTCCATCTTCTCTAGTAGACCATTATGTCCTGCAAATAATTTGAGTTTCCAAATAATTTTAGTCTTTCCACCAGGAAAGTGGACAATCTTTCCCTTCTTCATCTCTAGCCTATATCCTCTTCTGAGCATGCACCATCAGTTCGCTCTTTGCCTTTTCAGCTTCCTCGGCTAAAAAGCTGAAGAAAACTCAAGCTTCAACAACTTCTTTTAAACAACTAACTGGTATCATGAAATTATATCAGCACCTAAATTTGAAACAAAAATCCAAATTCTGCAGTTACATTTCTATTGTTCATTGCTCCTGGTATAACTGAAGAAGATCCCAGTTAGAATAAAGGCAGATGTCACTCATCACTCTGGACCTCAATTCATTATCCAATAAATAGTTTTACAACTGAAAACTTTCATGACTGCAGAGGGCTAAACTGATCTATTCACTGCATTTCATTCTTTCAAAATAACATTTCTCCTACTTAGTCTACATATACATATAACTAGTACTTAATAATATTTTCTTGTTTTCATTTAAGTAACAAGATTTATGACTTTAAATTTTTAGAGGTGTGTTTATACCACAAATAAGAATAGCATTCCTGTCCTAAAACTTTCAAGGATAACAAAACCTGAGATGGAGCTGGTTCACTAGATATATCACAAGTTTTGCAGATTTTGAGGACAAATGACTAGGAGACTTCTGTTCCTACTTTATGCCTCCTCTAAATCCCAGGTTACACTTATCTGTTCTCTTCAGTTTGCAGCAAACCCCTTACAACAACAACAAACTCCTTAAAGCAAACAAAACACCACTTACAGCTCTTTGTGAAAAGTTTGGTATACCACCCTCCACCCCCACCCGTTTCTACCACAAGAGGATCTTGTTTAGCAAAGCAAATTACAGAATAGTTTTTTAAGACAAGAGAAAAAGACTTATATGACTCAATTTTGACACTATATAGATTTATACTCTTACTTCCATTCTTCTGGAGGGTGGGCTAGTTCAAATTTCTCTCTCACATTGGACACCCCCATGTCCAGGTGTAGCCAGTGAACCTCCTCAGACTGCAGATGACTCAGCCGTAACCCATAGCAGGCCACATTTTTCACTTTGTGACAGTCCACAATCTTCTGAATTATGCCCTAAAACAGAGAAATATACACTCCTTACAAGCTGTAACAGGAAATATATAATTCTTTAAAATTCTACAGTAAGGCTTTAAAATATAACCATGTCATACCCCAAACAAAATACTAAGCAATAAGTTAGATACGACCTTTATTAAGAAAGTTCAATTTTAAGCTACTTTTTCAGACAACCATTTACAATTTCTGAAGTTTTATCAACATGGCATCACAAAACACCAGTAAATACGTTCCCATGCACCTTATCAGAACCAAGCCACTGTTTCCTCTATGTAAAACAGAATATAAAAGCCAAAATATAAAAAGCGTATTTGTGGATGAAAGTGAGATGTATTTGTTTAAAAAAAAAACAAACAACAAAAAAACCCAAACAAAAAAAACATCATCAGCATTTAAAAGCCAGTCTTCATCTACAGTTGGAAAATTGTCTTAGACTTTCATCCTATGTAGTGCTCCAACAGCCAGGATTTGGTAGGTCATGCCACAGCCCCTTGGTTTCCTTTCCCCTCTTCCCCCCACTCATTTTCTCCTGAGATTCAGCAAAGACCCCTTACAAAATGAGCAAGAGACAATTATTTGGGAAGATTCTCAAACAAAACCAACGTCCTACTTGTTTGTCCTGAGATAAATTTCAGAGTTTGAGGATCTCTTGCCCTAGGAAGGAACCTTTAAAAATAAAAATTGTAACAGATTGCCATTTCCCTTCTGCGTTAGACCTTAGAAAGGTCTAGCATGCCGTAACTAAAATTCAAATTTGTTAGTAGCTCGTGGATTAGCAATCTTTCAGACGCAGCGTGCCAGGCTGCTCTTATCCAGATTAGAAAGTCAGTAGGAGATCAGAGTTGCTGCCTCACAACCTGGGAGGAAGGTAAGGCTTGTCTCTCTGCAAGGCAGCAGATCCCTACCAGTAGAGAGTTGAGAGCTCAGCAGGAGCACGGGCTATCACTGCTCCCAGACACTTCTTTCAGGAATTCATAGTCCTTTGCTTTTGACCCTGTAATAGACTGAAAATTTCCAACCGAAAACGCTCATGGGTGAATGCGTGTATACACACATATGTACACATAGACACACATGTATAAGCACACACAGATGCACAAGCCACTGATTCTTGCTCAGAATTTCAGACAATAGCAACACGCAGCCGGCAGTAAGTACTACAGGAGCCAGAGGTGAGCTACTGCAGTGAGCTCGGCAAAAGTTTTTTTTACAGGATGATATTGTTTCCCCAAATTTATTCTTTTAAATCCCAAATAAACTGTTTAATACCCTGATTCTGCAAATTAAGCAAGCAGAAAACTAACTGCAAAAAAGAGACTTAAGGAAGCACTAAATCTGAATAGAGGGGGAAGATAACACATGTAGGAGTGGAATCACGCTTTTGGTGAGGTGATAGTGAGCTGTTAGATCAGCTCATACATCTTATCAAACCACAACCTTTAAATACTCTTCCAGAACCAGCACAGTGCATAGTGAAATGTTTAAAAAAAAAAAATAATTCTTTCAAGCCTACAAGAAGGAAACACAAGCCGTGTTTAGTAAGTTCATGGAGTATTGAGTCACAAGAGGTTCCATCAAGCCCAGCACCCTGTCTCCAACAGCACTGGTATGAGCATCCTCAGAAGCATCATTTGCTTCAGTACCAGTACTGCCTCCCAACTCCCTCATCTTCTCCCATGCCCAGGAGCTGGACATCCACTGCTAAGTAGCTGTTGAGCCCAAACTTCAAGGAAGATAAGTCGCAAAGAGCAAAGCATGCAGAATGTTTGTGGACGACCGTATCATGTGGGAGGGAGACTTGAAAACGCACTGGCAAATCACAGTTTTCAAGTGGCACTACCAGCTGGCAGCACCACACAGACTAACCAGCAGCAGCTGAGCTCTGGCAGCCAGAAGGTGCCCAAGTTGCTGGGACAAATGTCTGGTGCAAACAAAAGGAACCTCCCCGCAGGTAACGCTGGTAAAACAACTACAGGAACAACCCCAGTGGCCACAGATGGATGCCGAGGGCGAAGCGGCGACATGAGGCAAGCACACAGGACGCTTCCCCTAAGTGCTCTCCTAGCTTCTGACTCTTTTTATCCGAGTGGATTTCCTGAGCCAAGCATTGTTTCTGTCATTCATCAGCCTTCAATGAAACTCTTCCAGTTACTCATCCTGTCTCTTCTTAAAGCAGTTAACTTTTTGCAACCTTCCCCAGCAAGTTCCAAAGGTCTATTATCAGGTCAGTGAATGGTTTTAAATCTATATTAAATGTATCGAGCACACTGTATAAAAATTGGTTAAGTTTGTTTCTTGCCTGTATTTAAGGGTCTTTGTATCAAATACTGCAAATGAGAACAGTTGCCTGTATCCCCGGAAACACAGAACAACCACCAAGTACTCTCAGAAGTGACAAGAGGCAAATTTAACCTCTTCTTCACCCAAAGGACAATCTCCGCTTAGTTAGCAAAGCCTAACATTTTGGCAGGCGCGCTCTCCTCTAAAGCGAACACTGCCAGCTTTTCTGTATTGCATGCAAACAGAAGCGATTCATTCATTTACATCTCTTTCTGCACCCTGCATAGAGTACACAGCACGCAGTGTTTGTTTTTAGAAATCCACCCCCTTCCCCCGTTTCTGACGCTGTCAGTTGATAATGAAAATGGGGGTACATGTTCTTAAATGATAGTTATGCCTGCTGTGATAAGAAATGGCTTTGGAAAGAAAAAAAATTAAGGCAAAATTATCTATGATCATGAACCATCAAGAATACTGATGCATAAGGCTCAGTTGAAACCATTAGTATTTATTCAGGAAAGAATTGAGTCGGACATCTCAGAACCTCTCTAATTTTCAGGTTGGGATTTCAAAAGAACTGCACAAGTCAGATGTCTTAATTTCCACCAAAAGCGAATGAGATGTTTAAGCCTCTATCTTTTTTATATCATCAATCATTCTCAATCTATCACAGAAACAAAAGTAAATGATAATAAAAAAGGAAATGTATTTTCTAAATTATATAAGAGGGGTACGCCATCCCTTCTGGCCAGGTAGTTAGTATCACCCCGAGAAAATAATTAGTATATGCTGCAACTCAAGAAAAAGTCAACTTCAACCTAAAGCAGTAGCAGCATTGGTACAAAGAAGGTGAAGTGCAAGTATTTGAAAATATATTCTAAAAACTTATGTATGCCCAGAAAGGAAGAAGTGATGCTTTATGCAAAACAAACATGTTAAGTGGCTTCTCTTCTTTTTTGCTTAGGAATGCCACAGAGCTCATTCCTGATGCTATCAAATCATAGCCAGAATCAAAAAATGGAGAAATACAGAAAAGTGGTGATTAAGACACTCAAAATGGCTGATATGCAGGGGAAGTCTCTCAAGTAAAACATCTGCTTGCTTATTTACTTTTTCATTAATAAACCAGAGAAGCTGAATTTTAAAACATTTAGAGCCACACCTTCAATCAACGTAGCCCAGCACCACAACAGCGTGGTTCATTCAGCAAGAGGAACTCACACCAGGGGAAGCGCCGCATACAAACGCTAGAGTAAGTTCCCATGCAGCGGGACAGGGTTCATTTTATCTGGCTGCTGTTTCCAAACAGCGTAAGATTAATCTCCAAGACTTGCACTGGCATCGCAGCCATTATCGGGTCAGTGTATTTAACTCCAATCGGGTAGTAAACAACAGGTTGAGCCTCCTTGGGTTCTGGACAGCCTCCACAGACCAAGTGGAGATGCTTGGAGTGTCAAACAAAGCCACTGCCATCCCTCCAGGACGGGTGACAGCTTCTCTGTCTTTCATGGTCGCAATGTGAGGAGCCTTGCCAGAAGCATGCCTGATGTTCTTTGTGGTAGTGATCAGAATGCTTAATCAGAAGTTTCCAGACAAACAATATGAACTGCTTAACCACTGCACAACAGCGACTAAGACATCCCGCTGAGATATGTCATGACAATCTTTTAACTGGAAGCACAGCCAAAGAAATCTGAAATCTCTCCAGACTCTACTACAACCAGCCTTTCAGCTCAGGAAGCTCCTCAGATGCATTCTTGAGTGGAAAAAAACAGGTAAAGGAACACCAAAGTTTCAACCTGGATTACAAACTTAACGACCACAAATTAATCACAGCTAGAAATACTCATAGGAGAGCCTGACTCCAGTAGAAACCTGCTTCAGAAGGAAATTTCACTTTAGGTGTACACAGGATACCTACATGAATATAAATTTCTAAGAGGAGTTTTCATGTGTCTATTGTCATTCTCATAAATACCCTACAGCTGTAAAGAAGTCACACAATCGTATGCCAGTTGAATGCTCTTTACTGTAATCACATTGACTTCAGTTAGGTTTCCAGAGCTAATATTTACATCCCAAACATAAAATAGGCTAGTACAACGGAGCAAAAGAGAATGGGAAGCCCTTAGAGGAATTTCCTATCAATAATAGGTAAGTGATAGGTCACTTTTCCCTCCCTTTAACCCAGATGGAAGGAGGGGAAAAAAAACCCCAACTTTTTCAATAAAGAACTCGCAGAAATTCAACACAGCTAATTTGAAAAATAGATCAATATTTGTCCTAAATTAGGAGAATGTGTCAAAAAATAGAAATGGCACTACAGTATATTTAGGAGGTTGTTGAAAAATGTAGACAGACCAGAGAAAGGCCAAAAAGCACAGGATACCCTAGGCTCTCCCAGTATGTATCAATAACACCTTGTGCTTCTGTAAATGAGTGAAAATGAATTACTTGCTTGTAAATTAATAAAGCTGATGTGCTACTATGAATATATTGAAGTTGGAATAATATACTCCCCGCGTGACTACAAACCTAATTTCCCTATTTAGTAGGAAGGAGAAAGTGTCTTGCACTAGAAAAAGTCTTTAAGTAGCACCTCTAACATAGGGACACAGTGTTAACGTTGGTGAAACACTTCAAATACGTCAAATGCTATTTACATATCAAGTATTATAACTCCTGATGAGAGATTTATACGGGGAGCTTAAATGAAA